TATATATTTATTTGTTATTTTGTTATATTTATTTATATATTTATTTGTTATTTTGTCATATTTATTTATATATTTATTAGTTATTTTGTTATTTGCTTGTTTTTATTTATTTATATATATATATATATATATACATATGCAGATAGATATTTATTGTTATTATTATATTTATATTTATGAATATCATATATTTTTAAATGTATTTACATAAAGATAAATAAATCTGTTTAGAATACATAAATATACGTAAATGAAAATAAATAAAAATAAATAAAAATGAAAGCTGCACTCTGAACACAAAATAAAATATAAAAAGAAAAACAAAAAGAAAGATAAATAAACGAGAGAATATCAACACCATCACTTAAGGGATATGTGGCGCTGAAGTCTGCCTATCAGGGATCTCTGCTGTTAGGGTTTAGGGTTTAGGGTTTAGGGTTTATACTCCAAACGCTAAACCCTAAACCCTAAACCCTAAACCCTCAGAGTAGATCCGTCCTACCTGCTGCTGCTCCTTTGTTGTTATTTTTCTGTTGGTTTTCATGCATGTCTTCTTGTGTTTTGTTTTCTTTTTCTTCTTCTTTTTTATTTAATTGCTGCTGTTTACCTGCCTTCTTGCTGCAGTTTGCATTTGTTGCTTCTGCTGCTGCATCTGCTGCTGCATCTGATGCTGTTTCTGCTGCTGTTTCTGCTGCTGCTGCTGCTTCTATTTCTATGTCTTGCACTTCATCCTGCTGCATCGCTTTAAACTTCTTCTTCTTCTTCGGGTTGCTAACTTGTTCATCTTCATCTTCTTCTTTTTCTTCTTTCTTTAATTTGTTTTTCTTTGTTTTCTTCTTCGCTGATCGGCATCCAATCCAAACAAACAATAAATAATAAAATAAATAAATAAATAAATAAATAAATAGATGATGAATATATTAAACACCAGCAAACAAAGTATTCAAGACGGCCTAAATAAATGCTGCTTTTAATTCTCGCCTCACCTTCCGCCGGTGCAGCAGATTCTGCTGCTGCTGCTGCTGCTGCTGCTGTTTCTGCTGCTGCAGCACACAGCTGCAACAAATCAAATGAATCTCCCTCTGCTGCTGCTGCTGTTAAATCCCACTCCTGAAAAAAAACAGCAGCAGCCCTCACAGCAGCAACAGCAATGACTTTGAAGATATAGTTCCTGCTGCTGCTGCTGCTGCTATTGCTGCTGCTGCTGTTGCTGCTGTTGCTGCTGCAGTAACATACCCTGTTTGCTGCTTCTTTCCTCAATGCCTTTGCCGCCTTCAGCAGCTCCTGCTGCTCCAAGAAGTGCAGCACTGCAGCAGCAACGCGGACTTCGAGTTCTGTTTGCATCTTAAACCCTAAACCCTAAACCCTAAACCCTAGATGAGATGTGCGGAGGCGTTCTTCTTTCAAATAAGACAGAAGAATATGCTTCGTTGTTTAGTTTAGCATTAAGGAAGATAAGAAGAAGGGTTTATTTAAACGAGCAGCAGCTGCAGCAGCAAGAGCAGCAGCAATAGCTGCTGCAGCAAGAAGGTAGCAACAGTTTCAGAGTAGGCAGAGAAGAAGCTGCTGCTTAAACAGCAGCAAATAGAACTTTATGCTTAAATTAATTTAAATAAATTAATTCGTTCATCAGTTTATATCTTACAAACAAAACACAAAAAACGCAGAAAAACAAAAGCCGCACATCGTGTGGGGCCTGGGGCCCTCTGCAGCAACAGACGAAATTCTTTAAATTAAACTAAATTAAATTAAATTAAATTAAATTAAATTAAATTAAATTAAATTAAATTAAATTAAATTAAATTAATTTGTACTTCATTTTAATAATTGTTGCTGTACACGCAAATAATACGCGGCGAGGCAGAGGGAAGAGTAGAAGGTTTATTAGGGTTTAGGGTTTGCTTCAGGTTTATTAGGGTTTAGGGTTTGCTACGATTATTAGGGTTTAGGGTTTACTAGGGTTTATAGTTAGGGTTTATTAATTAGGGTTTATTAATTAGGGTTTGTCTCACTGTACAGCAGCATAAAGAATCTCATTAGCTGTCTACCAGAGTACGCTAAAGCCTGTTTGCTGCGATTAAAATTATATATAATATATATATAATATATATAACATATTATATATATATATGTAAATATATATATATATATATGCATGTAAATATATATATATATATATATATATACATCTTCTATAAGAGGAAGCGAAGGAACCAAGACGGAATTATCTAACTCATATAACTCTAAACTCTAAACCCTAAACCCTAAACCCTCGTTTAATGTCTATGCTGCTACGTTTTTAATTTAAACAAACAGTTACAACCCGGTTAACGTTATGCACACCTGTAGAGAGAGAATAATAATAAAGAATGATGAGAAATAATAAATAATAAATAATAGATTATAATAATAATAAAGCAATAATAATATTGTTGGGTTGCAGCTTCGTGCAGTCTTTCAGTCAAACTGAGCTGTACGTACAGTCAACATGCGCTTCTTATAAAACAATAAGAATAGCATGTCCTTCCTTTATATATATTATATATATTATATATAATATATATATATGTATATATATACATATATGTATATGTATATATATATATACAATATATATATTAATATATACATTATATTGTATATATTATATATACACATATATATATATATGTATATACATATACATATATATATATGTCGATATATATGTATATATATATATATATATATGTACATACATATATATATATATATATTATATATATATGTAGATATATATAAATATATA